AATAATATTTAACGTTTAATTAACGAGTAAAGTTTGACTTGAGAACTTCCGGTGCGGTCAGTTCCTTAGTAACGAGGACAGTAGCCTAACGGTTTGTCTGCAGTTAGCGTTTTCTGCTTAAGCTAGTTAAATAACGAATAAAACCGGAAAATACACAGGAGAAAAAAGCAAGCACGGCAAATAAAATGGCTTCCGATAAAGAAATGGCCTTATATTTGAAACAAATTCGATATCTAGAGGAGCAGCTGGATACGTAAGTCTATTTGTCTTTAACTTTTATCGAAATAAATCCGTAAGAGTTCATTTATACAGTGAAATATGAGTGTAATTGTATCTTTCTTTCCCACCTTTAACATATTAATGTTAATCTTATCAAAAACAATTTGAGCTTTTCCCTTCAGTGTTGTCTACTTGCCTAACCTAAATCTCGAAATTTAGCTTATTGGGAAGCAAATAGTGTAGTATGCAAATAAAATTGAGAGAATACTATGTTTATGTTAAATATAACAGAGAATTAATTTAAAGTGCAGTACCAGGCAACAGTTTTGAGGCACCCCCCCCACATTTCTTTAAGTGTTGCCTTCAAGGAGCCAGTTCTCCTTGTAAATGTTTTTAAAGCGGCCTTGAGCAACAATTAGGTGAACAAGTGAATGCAATGATGCACACTCTATGTATAACAAAGATCAAACTAGATTGTTGACTCTAATCCCTGAGCCTGCCGTGTCCCTCTTCAACCTGCAGCTGTCGGCCTAAACAAGAGCAGATGGAGAAAGAATACCAGGAGCTCGTCTCTGAATTCGCCGTGCTGCAGGAGGACTCAAAAATCCAGACTGGTCACCTGAAACGCATCCTGACTGCAAAAGAAAAGAAGGTGACTGAGTTGTTGGAGCAGCTGGAGAATGAGCATCAGGAAGCCAAACGCAACAGAGACAACCTGATGCTGCAGCACAGCAAGGAGCTGCAGGAGATGCGTGAGCGGATTGAAGAGCTTAAGTCAGAGAACAAGATAGAGGGTGAGAACATTTTGACAGCAGCACCAATAGAAAAAAAGCAAATTATCAATGAGACCAAAGAAATTCTTTGATATTCTTAGAAATTAATTCTTCAGTACCTGAAAACAGGACAGGAAGCACATCAGAGCACTTCCTGGGTTTACACTGTTGTTGTTTGAGGAGCTCTTTGAAAGGGGAAAGATATCCATGTGCACTCATCAGCCACTTTATTAGGTACACCTCTGCAGCTGCTTTTTAACACAAATATCTAATCAGTCACTCGCATGGC